CTTTTATTGTTGTTTTAAGCTGCTAAGTTTTGGGATAACTTATAGCTAATAGAATTATCTACAGATTACTAATAGGACTGGAATAGGAAGAGAGGGGAGGAAAGATAGAGTTGGGAGGGAAAGTCATCGTAGAAAGTGGGTAATAAATCAGAAGTGGAAATAAGATCTGGAGTCTGACTTGTCTCACTTTCTCTTTTCTTCTCCTACATTACACTGAATGTCCATTTCTTTTTTTGTCAGTGAAACTGCCCTCATGAGAAAACAGAACCTGGAAAAACCCCAAGAAAGAATGACAAATCTATTCTGAGGCTTTTTCTATATTTAACCAATTAATCTCAACCCTGGGCTGCAGGTCCTATTTCCCCTTTCTATAACGAAGGGTGATGTGACTTGCCCAAGGTCACAGAGCTAAATGAATAGGCAAGCGAGACCAATCCCAGATACTCTGGCACTCTGGCAAGTTTTAACTATGAAGGAGGGCAAAAGAAAAACAGAGTCCTGAAGAGCCATCACCTTTCCGATACGGGCCCAGAACAATGTGGGAACTGGACTGACAGCAAAGGCCTTTGGGCTTCCCGTGTGCTGATGGCACCACTGACAGGGTCAGCGATCCCACTGGCCACTGGGATCTTGAGCAAATCACATCTCTGAACCTGTTTCTCCAACTATAAAATGAACACTACATTAAAAGATCCGAGACCACTTCCTGTTTCACATGCAATGGTTTGAAGTACCTAGCAAAAGTAAAAAATTACAACCAAGGTACAACTCACTCTCAGTCGTCCTAAAGGCTCTCAGAACCTTGATTACTCAGTCACCACCTTAAATTTTAAGCTCCCATCCTGCAAAAACTTCTTACAATTTGAAGAAAGCTTTGCTTCCTCTGCAGACTGTGTCCAGCCCGCAGAGAGCCAGGACATTTTATGGATGCAGACATTGTCCCCTCAAGGAAAGTGTGGAGAACACGCTGAGTGCTTTTGTGGAAAAAGGGTTGCTTTTGCGTATCTCATCCTTGTATATGGGCAAACAGAAATGCCATTGACACTGTGGTCAGAGATTAAACATTATAAGTCACTCTATTTTCACTTTCAGTTCTTCCAGTGTTCCCACCAAAGCACCAAATCACCAAATCAATTCCCAGAAATTGGCACAAAGGGGGGATAAATTGTGGTAGAACACCAAACTCTGTTTGCTTGTGACTTGTTTGCTTAAATTCCCTATGAAGTAAAACCCAGACAGTAAAACATAAATAAATAAAATCTGCCCAAAGCTGTGTCCTAGCAGATAGAGAGACATGAGCATCGACGCCTGCACACGCCATCCAGCTTAGCGTGCTTTGTCAATGCTCTGATTCTCTGGAAAAGATTATCTATCCCCAAAGCCATAAAGCTTCTAATGAGGACAAATAGTGGTAAAAAGTTTCAGCCCATGAAAAACAGTCCTCCATTGTCTCATACCCCCTCTTAATTGATCTTAATGGGTGATTGTAAATGAAGGGGAGAGAAAAAGCATAGCACTAACACATAATAATTATCTGTAATTCTCCATTGGTAATGTTGCTGAATGGGGAGAATAATGCAAATGTGGACAGATGCTGACTAGAGCTTCACAATGACATTGAAATTAGGGTTATTTTATACAGTAGGTAACATATGACTAAGTTGTAGTTCTTCCAGGGCAGATTTTCATCCCGAGGACAATATGCAGCACAGATTGCTGAGAAGGGTAATGAGATGAATTTTCCATGAGGCACGACCCGTGGGGATAGGCAGGGGTAGAGATGTTTAGCATTGTGTCCTAAAAACTGGTCAGTGTGGCAGGGACTCATTTAGCTGCTAATATCTGATGTAAAATTTGGCGACTCTACATCAGCTTTAAAGTGAGATGAGAAATAGAATCCTCAGCATCCTAGATAAGTTTTTTGGCAACTTAAAAAAAAAAAAAAAAGACTATAATCCTAGCACTTTTAGAGGTACTTCAAAATCAAACATCCTTATTGTAGAGAGAGAAAGAAAATCCAGAGGTTTCACAGCTGTTAGCAAAGCCCACGGGTTCAGGGGTGGTGGAGGAGGGGGTGGGTGAAGGGGCCTGGAAAGATCTCTGCTCTCTGCTTTACTGATAATTTTTTTTTACCTCCAGAAATCAACATTTCCCTTTATTCTTCTTGACATCAATAAGTTACCCTTCAGAATTTACTGTGTACCCCAAAGGGACCTGTGTGCTAAATGCTAAGGTTACTATAATAATTAAGACAAACTTAGCATAGTGAAATCAACCATCTAATGTCTCAGCAATGATACAAATCATTACAATTTTAAAATTTCATTAATTTTCAATCTAGAAATGTGAATGATCTGTGGGATTTGTATGCATGTGTGAAGGAGCGATGTGCACTCTGAGCACCAAGCAGCACCTAGTGACCCAGGGGCATCAACCAAAAAGGGCTGTGTTCAGAGTTGAAGATGGACCAGGAAGAAAGATGGGAGCCCATCTACACCAATAATAGACAAATATGTAAATTGACCATACCTCTGAGATGCTCCACAGCCAATCAGGAGCGAGTATGCAAATCAACCTGACAAAGATGGTAGGCCTGTGGGGGTCTCAGAGGTATGCAGGCACAGAGCAGCCTGGAGGAGGGTGGGTGTCCTGTCCTATTAGCTCAGCCTAGGGGCAGCTGGAGTTCACAGTCCTTTTCCTTGTGCAGCCCCTGGACTAGAAGCCGGAACCAAGAGCATGGGGAACACCAGGAATGCTGAGAATTGTAGTTCTGGTGGCAAATGCATTGTGGGATTTCCTAGACACTAGAGCAAATGAGCCAGGAACAACTTACTGTTGCGGGTGGGGGATGGAGGGAAAGCAAAGGTGGGTAACATAAGTAAAGTCAGAGTGTCGAGGAAAAATTAAAGGAAGATATCCTGCAACTTCTAGGAAATCTCCACCAATGGAGCAAAGAGAAAAAAAAAAAAAAAGACCTCTATTATTCTGTGAGCACCAAACCAAACTGGGTTAGGGTCTCAGATAATTCGCTCATTTGATTGCACAAAGACAGACAGAAATTCCCGGATTGGAGAGGGCTCCCAGATTAGAGAGGGTGCAGGTTGGGCTGAGGGACCCACTTCCACCTCCCCCCATCCCCCTTTCCCTAGTAGATAACATAAAAGGAGAAAATGGTAAGTGGGGAGTGAAGTACCAGCCTTAGGCCAAGGATCCCAGCCCTGCCTGGATCAATGGCCTGGAGGAAAATCCCAATGACTGCACAGGCTCACCAGACAGCTCATGTTGGGGTAACAATTACCAGCACTAGGAGCCACTTGCTTTTGCTTCAACAAATGATAGAACAACTGCAACTAGAACAAAGGTGAATCAACTCGTATTTATTTTGATTTTAGTTCTCTTGAAATTTACTCAAATTAAGAACAGTGCACCTTTGATCTATTCTGGGGGGAGATAAGTTGGGAAAGAAAAGCTAAAAATACTTAAATTATAGCGAACTTTAATTTACATGATGTCTTTTGGCATTGATGGTTCCGAATTCCATTGGCATTCATCTGTGAACTGACCTATGCCAATTCAGCGCTTCAGAAAATGCCTGGTTGTTATAAAAACAAGGAGCGCTCAGCACACAGAGGTAGGTGAGCGCTAGGGACTTCCAATCCCAAACTTTCTACTGGCCTCAGTCCAAATCCTGCCAACCAACAGAAGCAAGGAGATACAAAAACAGTCTGTCTTTTTCAGGACAAAATTTCTTTCTTTCTTTTCTTTCTTTCTCTCTTTCTTTCTTTCTTTTTTTTTTTTTTTTTTTTTTTTTTTTTTTTTAATTCAGACACTTAAATGAGAACCATGCAAGTTCACTCTGGGGTAGACACAACATAGGGCAGGATGAACAAACTTCAGAGTCAGAGGGAGAATGAAACCCTTTGAGAAGTGGGGGAACCACAGAACTCATGGCTCTGAAGGGGTCCGGATGCCCCACTTGGCGAGCTCTCATTCCTCATTCTCTCAAAGTGAAGGGGGGTGAGGAGGGTGTTCCACCAGGTAATTTACTAATGAAAAACATTTTTCAACATCCTTAAAAACACACACAAACACCCAGATGATACTGATTGTGGAGAATGTATTCCTCATGGGAATATTTCCTCTGTCAAATCCAGCACACCAGGAGCATGAAAGTTAATGTACACATTCACATATACACGGATGGCACACTATGTATTTAGGTATTTTCAGAGTACATTCCCATGAAGTTCTCACAAAGACAATCTGGCTGTTTCTACGAAAGGAAATTGTCCATCTTTAACTTCAACAATTTATTGCTACTTTACCAGGAACATTTTCTCTTGTAAATTTAAATTATTGAGAGTTACTAAGTCAAATTAAGCTCATTGAAATTTTTCAAATTTGCTTTTACTCATAATTTTTGTCCCTATTAGATAAAATGCCTATGAAACCAACTGGTAATCATGTGAACTTACTGTTTATATAAGGACATCACATTCAAAACTTAAGATTAACTTCTGAGTTCTTCATAAAAATGAATATATTGTTTTTGTGTTACTACTTGTGTATATAAGTAGTTATAAATGCAAGGCCAAACTATGTTAGCAATATTAAATTTGTGATTCAAAATGAGATTTTAAGAAGAATCTTTGAGTTCTCCAGGCTTCATCATTACCAGGCATTTTGCTAATAATAGGAAAACTACTACTGACAGTATTTTGCCATGTTACTCAATCCTAACCACAACCTTCTATTCCCTTTTTAGGTAAGTGAACAGTTCAGCTCAGAAGAGTTAATCAAGTTGGCCAACATTACAAAATGAAAGTGGATGCAGGCTCACCAGACAGATCATGTCAAAGCCATGTCTTTTTGGTCCAAATCCCGACCTCTTTCCTTCTCTAGCTGTGACTGCACCCAAGCCCCTGAACAGATTAAACTGCTCAGTTGTGCAACTCAAAATACCAAAGTCATGCAAACATGTCACTTAGACTATTTCATACCTTTACTCCTCTGAAACTTCCTGGGCTGGTTGGAGAGGAACTGGAGGATTTCGTAGATTTAGGGGTGGAGAGCTGGCTGCTGGGAGTTCCATTAACTGACCGGGAGACACAAAGGAGACAGAGGTCATTGAAAACTCAAGACAACCAGACTGTGTCCAAACACCAAGCACATGCATGAAGCTTCCATTCATTTAACGCTCAAAGCAGATGGCAAACCAGCAAAAAGCAAGAGCAACGCATCATACTGTATTACAGACAAAGTATTAGACAAATAAGGAGTGGAGCTAGGATTATTTTCAGTAATAGCTTTCCAACGATGACACAGACAAAGATATAGAACATTATAGAACTAAAGATGAGTCTGAGAATTTGTCCATATATCCTGCCTACCAGCAAGGGTAGGGATGAATGAGTGTTATCTTTGTAATGGTTTCTTATGCAGATTGTCTCATAACCTCCAATATTATCTATCTGAATAACCAAGACTTCCTATGGCTCTCCCAAATCAGTTCCACCATAATCCAAACATATTTTCTAAGTGCATTATTAATGGAAAAAGAAAATTAATGGTCATTTTCCTTGCAATATCTACTTATTTGTTTGAAGGCCATACAAAAACATTCAACTTTTTAAAAAAATCTAGACTACTTATTTCTAATTCATTTTCTTTGTAGATTAACTTCCCCATCATTTAGCAAATTTTATGTTGTTTTTTGTTTGTTTTGTTGTTTGTTTTTTATACACCCTCCTCCAAACTTCCACATACTTTTCAGGCTGAAGTTCAATTCAGAGCCTATGCTTGGAAGAGTGCGGCCGCTGCTGCTCCAGGGACGGCAGGTCACAGAACCGACACTACAAAATGCTCGCTACTCAGTTCCACATGACTCACGCTTATTCCTAATTGATTCCCCTAATTGATATGTCTGCTGTAATTTCACAGAGCTGGTAGTTAACATCAAATATTGGTATACTTTTTTTTTCTTTTCTAAGGAGTATTTATAACCATTTTTATCATGAATCTTTAATGCTTTTGCCCAATGTAGATCAAAACGGCCATTCATCTCTAAAAGCAAAGCAAAGTGCATCTCTTATTTTTTTTTTAATATGAGAAAGCAGACACCTATTATTTTAAATGATGTTAATAAGTATAAAAAGCAAAATGCATCCATAAAGGTCCTGTCTAGGGGATTTAAAAAGGTGAACATCAGCCCTAGCTGATTTGGCTCAGTAGACAGAGTGTCAGCCTGAAGACAGAAGGGTCCCAGGTTCGATTCCTGTTAAGGGCACATGCCTGGGTTGTGGGCTCAATCCCCAGTAGGGAGTGTGCAGGAGGCAGCCAATCTATGATTCTGACACATCATTGATGTCTCTCCTTCTCCCTTCCTCTCTGAAATCAATAAAATATATGTTTACAAAAAACAACCCATCAGATATTGCAGACACACACGCACACACACACACAAACAAGATGAGCAACAGTCCTTAGGTGGAGGTAGAAGTCCTGGGTCTGGTATTGGGCTTAGTACCCTAGGTCCACAGGGGTTGACAGGGACCCATGAAGTCATGTTTGCATATGTATTGCCATTTTAAAAATTCAATGAAGACCCGGCTGGGTGGCTCAGCTGGTTGGAGTGTCATCCTGTACACCAAGGATTGAGGGTTTGATCCCCAGTCAGGGCACATAACTAGGTTGTGGGGTTCAATTTTCCGTTGGGGCATATATAGTAGGCAACCAATCAATATTTCTCTTTCACATAGATGACTGTCTGACTCTCTCTCTCTCTCCCTCTCTCTCTCTCTCAATCTCTTCTCCTCTCTCCCATTCCCTTTATCTAAAAGTCAATTAACATGGCCTCCAGTGAGGATTAACAAAAAAATTCAGAGAAAACAAAAAATTGTCCTATTTACTTTTGAATTACCAAACTTTAATTTTTTTTTAATTGAAAACTACTCAAAATAACTATCAGTTATCTACATTTTCTTAACTAATGTATGTGGGTATTTAGAGTGCAAGTATAAAACAGGTAACTATACAATTAATTAAAAACTTTTAAGAGTATTCAGCAGCCCTGATTTTTTGTCTATTAAGTTACATTTCAGTCAATGTTATAGGTTTTTAAAATTCTCTTTAAAGGGAACTGGTAGTAGGAATTCACATAAAATAGAGATGATTATGGACGATGAACTAGTAGAGTTGCTGTGAGCCTAGATCTTTTTTCCTACGTACCACACAGCAACCTGTATGGGCCACCAGTTCCTACTCAGTAAGTGCTGTTAGCTCTCTGTAACATTCAGACACCACACTAATGCCAAAGCCTTCCTTGGAATGAAGATAGAAGAGAGACTCAAGGAGAGAAAACAAATTCCTGCCAATGGTGATCTGTGTAGCAGACAATCTCCCTAACAGTACACCCCTGGCCTAAACAGGGTTTCTTAAGGATACTCACTGCCAGGGTTTAACTGCTGTCAGTACCTACATGTCCACATCCTCCCCCCCCAAATAACTCTCATCCTAAAGAGACACTGTCACATGGAGCCCTTAAATTCCTGATAGTGTTTGGAAGGCTCTAAACATGTTCTCTAAGGAGTAGTCCTTAGAATTCCTTACTTGCACACTTGTCCAGTCTTTGGGAGGTAATGTGGGGTGTGGGGCAGGGCTCCTTGGTGCCTTCTCCCTGACACGTCTGCTGCCCACAGGGAGATGAGCAAGGACCAGTGGCATTGTGATGCTCCCACACCTTCATTACGCCCCTGATTCTCTCCCAAAGGGAGGCTTCTATCTTTCTCCCTCAACTTCAGGTAAGAAATGAATCTGGGAACTTTACTCTTTGCTTGTTTTGTCTGAATGATTTTCTTTTAAAACATATTTTATTGATTTTTTACAGAGAGGAAGGGAGAGGGATAGAGAGCTAGAAACATCGATGAGAGAGAAACATCAATCAGCTGCCTCCTGCACACCCCCTACTGGAAATGTACCTGCAACCAAGGTACATGCCCTTGAATGGAATTGAACCTGGGACCCTTCAGTCCACTGAGCCAAACCAAGTAGGGTTTCTCTGAATACTTTCTTTCTTTCTTTCTTTCTTTTTTTTTTTTTTTTTTTTTTTTTTTTTAATATTGGTCAATTATGAAAGCATCACAAGCTAGAAACCTAAAGGGAGAATTATGAAGGCTCCCATTATGGTAACTATTACCGCTTATGTTTTCCAGATTAACTTCTATGTGCTTCTTACACACTATTTTGCTATTACAATAAATTAGAGTTTGGATGAGGAATGCAGTCAACCACAACACTCATGGGAATATTTCTGTCCCAAGATTGAAAAAGTGCAATATTATTTTTACAAACTCCCTAGCTCTGTTGGAAATTCCAAATAGTCCCCAGGAATTTTTTTTAAATGGTTAAGAGGTAGGCCACAGTCGAAGCAGTCTATAAAAGCAAGTTATACTCCTGGGTACTGTGGCTTTTAATAATACAAAACTCTTTCCTTGCTGGAAATGGGGAAGAGAACACAATATTAGTAAATACAGACCTATTTGTTGGTCAGTTTATTCTGCTCATGAGATGCGACATATAAGATCATGTGATGGTTTGTCTTCTCTGACTGACTGGCTTATTTCACCTAACATAATAATCTCCAGGTGCAGCACTGTGACATTATTTGGAGTTAATAAAGCTACTGTAATAATCAAAACTTGCATGTCTTTCTCCATACGAACAACTGTAAACCTACTTTTGCCCATCCCTGCTTAGCAACTTGTTTCAGAATCACAGTGAAGTCCCAGCAACTGACTGGAGTCTCAGTTTTCTAGAAATGCATTGTTAATATCCTACAAAGAAGCCGCTTGCCCTCTGAAAGGTGACTTTAAAATCTCACACCTGCCCTGCAAGCATAGCTCAGTTTGACCATCAACCTATAAACCAAAAGGTCAGGATTCAATAACATAGTCAGGGCACATGCCTGCGTTGCAGGGTGATCCCAAGTGTGGAGTGTGCAGGAGGCAGCCCATCAATGATTCTCTCTCATCACTGATGTTTCTCTCTTTCTCTCCCCTCTCTCTTTCTCTCTGAAATCAATAAAAATGTATAAATTTTTTTTTTTTAAATCTCACACCTTTTACTTATGTTAAGATCTATTCTATTAACCCAAACTCAAACATGGACTGGTAAAAACTTGGGGTACTGGAATGAGATGATTCTAGAATCAATTACTAAGCATACCAAATTCAATGTAAAAAGATGTATGCATTTATTAGACTACTAGAGGCTCAATTCATGGATTCATGCATCGGTGGGGTCCCTCGGCCTGGCCTGCACCCTTTTGCAATCTGGGACCCCACCAGTGCAAGATCGGGGCCAAGGAGGACTCCAGGGCCTATCTGGCCCGTCTAGCCTAGTCCTGATCAGGGTAATGGGTCCTGACAGTCAGGGAGGGGCTACAGGAAGTTGTCGGGCCAGGAAGAGATTCAGGGAGGGTTCCGGGGCGTGTCCAGCTTGTCTCGCCCAGTCCCAATCAGCCAAACCCCAGCAGCAAGCTAACCTATCAGTTTGGAGCATCTGCCCCCTGGCGGTCAGTGTGCGTCATAGCTACTGGTCTATCTGTCAACTGGTCAAATGGTCGACTGCTTGCTTAGGCATTTATATATAGAGAGATCTTATGAAGCATTTGGTCTGAAAGACAAATGTGGCTATGAAACATGCTTTCAGTTCAGTATGTTAATTTCCCTTTCAACCTCAGGGAGACAAAATTGGAATCATCATAATACCTGATTCTGGAAACACTCTCCCCACTTTTATTTTGTTATTTTACTCTAGGATAAGCACCTGTAAACCTATCACTAAACGAAAACTAAGAACCTGACAAAAATCTACGTCTTCCATATAGTAAGTTCAGTTCATTTTTGCAAGTTTCCTACTATGTTAGCTTTCCCAGTGTGAGATACTTACAGAAAGCATTGAGTAAGCTTAACAGCAGAAAGATGCTTTCAGTTAAAAAAAAAAAAACAAAAACTCATATTTGTCTACTCTTTTCGGAAGAGAAAGTATTGAGCCTATTAAGCTCAAGGTCGGGATGAAGGTGACAATAGAATAGTACAATTGTGACTGTAGTCATTTTCACCTTGCCAACAAACTTTAATCTTTTTCAATAGGGTTTTTCCAAATTTGACTAGAAACTAACCCCTGTGAGGCACTGCACCTCCTCCATCGCTTAGGACTGTGGCTATACACAGACAGGCACTTAGCGGCCTTCTGACAACGACTACGGTCCTCCTGTAGGTAAGGGAAGCTGAAGCGCCCTCCGTACTGAGAAGCACAGCGTACTGCACAGAGGCACGTGGGGGCCAGCCAGATACAGTCATGGAAATGGAGCAAAGGAAAAGGAAATGTGGCAAACGACAACAACAGAAACTCAGCTGAGTGACAAAGCCATACTAACCATGGCTCACCTGGGGATTTGGCTGTAGAGTAGGCACTGGAGTAGGGGCCACCCCTCTTTACTGTGCACATTCAGTATACACAGCGGAGGAGGAGGAGGAGGAGGAGGAGGAGGAGGGGGAGGAGGAGGAGGAGGGGAGGAGGAGGAGGAGGAGGAGGAGGAGGAGGAGGGAGGAGGGAGGAGGAGGAGGAGGAGGAGGGAGGAGGAGGAGGAGAGGAGGAGGAGGAGAGAGGAGGAGGAGGGAAGAGGAGGAGGAGGAAGAGGAGGAGGAGGAAGAGAGGAGGAGGAGGGAGGAGGAGGGGGGAGGGGGAGGAGGAAGGGGAGGAGGAGGAAGGGGAGGAGGAGGGGGAGGGGGAGGAGGAGGGGGAGGGGGGGAGGAGGAGGAGGGAGAGGAGGAGGAGGAGGAGGAGACAGCAAGGAGAGCGGTTATTCAGCAGGCTTAAACTTGCACACAAACAGAAGGGTGAACCAACCCAGCCCAGAGAAAGTGGGGTGGGTGCTGAAGGGGGAAGCAGTGAAAAGGAAAGTGGCCCCCCAAATGTAGTATTTTATAAAAAGTTTGATGCTTGAGACAGATGTTGATTCTACTTTCACATATTCTAGATCGCCCACATGTGAAATCATGGTTTTTCACAAGCCTTTCCCCCAAGGGTGGGGAACATCCGGCCCACGGGACATATTAAAGCCTGAGAAATCATTCGGCCTGGCCCTGCCAAGGCATTAGGGGTGAGTTAATTAAAATGTCTGACCAAATGTAGCAGGCTGATTTTTAAGTTTAGAATTTTATATGGCCTGAGAATTACATTATAAGGTGAAGATCCAGATGGTCCTTGGCAGAAAAAAAACACACAAAAAAACCCAATTCCCTGCCCTTAGTAATATCAGCTAAGTTATTCATGATTACACTATAAACAAAGCTTGTAGGATTGATACATCAAGACGTTTAGATACGTTTTTATATTTTTTTAAATGCCAAAGGGGTCAACATGATGACAAGTCTATAGGCCTAGGGCCTGAGAGAAGCTGAAGAACAGTGAAGTCTGACTCTTACATAAGGAAAGCACTTCTTTCCAAGAAGACTTGCTGCTACTATTAAATTGCGTGATTGATGAAGGAAAAGCCAGTGGAAAACTAGTGAGTAAATACATTGTTATGCTAGGTATGTGTGTGTGTGTGTGTGTGTGTGTGTGTGTGTGTGGTTTAAATTGATAAGAGAAAAAAATGTCCACAATCATATAGCACAACATTTAAAATGCAAATGTGGTCAAATGCGAAGCTTCTCAGGAGAAGAACTGAGCTAATAAGATTGTCCTAAAACAAATGTGTCCAAACAAAACAAGCCAGGGTCTTAGGCGGCTTACTACAACTTTGAGAAACAGATTTCAACTGTTTTGTTTTAAAAATCATGTCATCTACATGCTGTTCTGGAACCTGGTTGCCTACAAGCAGTGGGAAGACCAAGGATTCATAATCACTGAAGAAAACAAAAGGAGACGCCGCCCCAGTTAGCCCTCATTCCTCTCCCCTTCTCTACCTGAGGCTGGTGACTTGCTGCGGCGAGAGGCCCCAGGGCTTTTGGATCCAGAATACTTGGCCGAGGAGCGAGAATACGATGACTTCAAGACGCGGCATTCTAGAAAAGAAGCAAAGTGCATTCAATAGATCTGGTGCCAATACTAGCCAGAGGAAGGTTACACGGAAAAGCAGCTGCCTGCCTGGAACCATTACCTGATCATTTTCCTATTACCACCTGAAAAGTACACCTTGAGACTACACATCTGTAACATCACCTCATTATTCCAGATGGACACAGACAGCCCAGTGTCCTAACTTGATACACACAGATCCTAACCTAAACATGGGCAACGGTGCTTAGACCGCAGCATGGGTAGGCAGAAGCTTTGCAAATCTTGAACATGCTAGGTTGAAAGGGTATGTAGAACCCTAATTTATGAACCCCTACCTGTGCCATCTTTCAAAAAAGTGTGGAGCACGAAACAGGAGGAAACTAACTTTAAACAGTAACTTTGGTCTTCCCATAAGTAGCCAAATAACATGTAGGGTATCAGAGCTAATTACAGCTAAAGTAAGCAGTTCTAACTGGAATAATTAAGAACACAGCTTTTAAATTCATGGCAGATTTTAGATGAAATCATGGATTTGACTTGGTCAACTAGGGCAGTGGTCGGCAAACTCATTAGTCAATAGAGCCAAATATCAACAGTACAACGATTGAAATTTCTTTAGAGAGCCAAATTTTTTAAACTTAAACTTCTTCTAACACTACTTCTTCAAAATAGACTCACCTAGACTGTGGTAGTTCGTGTAAGAGCCACAGAGGCCAAAGAGGCATATGTAGCTCTCAAGCCAGTTTGTCGACCACGGAACTAGGGGACTATGGTTAGATTCTACAATCTACTCCCCCCCCCCCTCAAAATGGCATAAAAATAAAATCTGCATCACAGGATAGTTCTAAGGAACAAATTAGATAACATACTTTCTGTAATTTGCATTAAAATATTTCAATTTATGTAAGATGATTGAAATGTGGGTTGGTTTTAATGGACACCTCAGGGGCCATAAATTAACATGTGAAATACACTAATCAGGCATATACACATCAGGGGACAATGGTTAGCATTTGAAAGACTCTAATCAAAACCTCACAGGGAGGGGGTTGTAGCAACTTCAGTTCAGTTCATCAGCCTTTGGATGCTACTAAGTACTCCACCATTGAAGGGAGTGGTGTGTGAATGAGTCAGAAACATCTTAAAGGCACTACCCCTCTAAGAGCAGGATATCTAAACCTACAGAGCCAGTACTAGAAGCTCAGAACCACAGCCCAGGATTAGGAATCCGAGTCCTGCTTCTAGCTCTGAGGGTTGTGTTACTTGACTAACACTAAGTTAACTGATGTTGATTAATGCAAGACATTGTGAGGAATCTAACAGGACAGAGTTGGGATTTTATCAAGATACGACCCAAGTTAAATGACAGACTTTGGAAAAAAACAAAACACAAAAAACATTGCCTCCTAATAAGTGTACCCTTGGAAGAATTAGGTCTGAGACCTGCTTTCATTGAAAAATTTTGAGACCTGATGGTGGTAGTATAATAACAATATGAACAACAGCATAGCACATACTATGCAACCAAGTACCCTTCTAATTGCTTTATATCTGAACTCATTTAATCCTCACAGAATCTTGTGAAAAGGCCACTATTACCAGCATAGTTTGCAGAAGGTTCAGGAATTAGCCATTGAGAGGGAAACAATCAGTAGCTTCCACTTCTGTCTAAGGAGTCTATCTATAGCTATAACTGCCATGATCAAACTAGCTTAGGAATGATTACAGCATATAATGTCAATGGAGTACAACGCTAGCGCATACACAGCAAGTGCTCAATACATGTTTCATTATTGTTGTTTTTGTTGTTACCCAAATTAACTTTGCAACCCGAAAGCATAGCATCAACTTTCAAAATGACCAGGATAGACATCAAAGAAGAACTGCAAAATGAAATTATGCTAACATCAATAAAGATATAAAATATAAATGACATGTAAATGCATGTTTTGTGCAACCTTATTATCCCTGAGAATCGGGGATAACGTTACCTGGGTCATAGGAAAGGCCATCACCTGCAATTCTTTAAGGACTTTGCGGTCATATTACCAGTTTAAAGCAGGGCCAGTCCCAGAAATTATGTAAATCAGTACAGAAACACTCAAAGAGGTTTGGCAGCAGTGAAAGATACAAAAGGAAAACAAAAAAAGGAGATCAATGAACCACAAGCACAAGGTAGATAAATTTCCCCGAGGCAAATGTGAAAGGGGGAGGACGAAGCAGAGGGGATTACATAAGAAGTCTGGTTCCACAGAATGGACCATCTTGAAAAGCCAATGGATCATCATATTTATTTGGTAATATGTTTCTCTAATTCAGGACTGTCAGAATCATTACAAATGGAAGGAGTCCCCGCTGAGTCTAATTTTTGAAAAACTTCCCTCATTCATGAACTTACAGCGTGAGATTGTATTTCTAATATCCCTCTTCTCTGTAAAATGCTATGCCTGTATGATTTTACCTTGTGACAGATGAAATTGATTTCACTGGTGGAAATAATCACTATTACTGTAATAGGTTTAAATTTAAAGCAATATTTCCAGAAACTATAACATTGGAAATTACCAAGGTTATTGCTAATTAATTGAAAACTCCATCTATTGGCTAAAATAAAAAGAAAATAATTATCCTACCCCATCAATGAAAATTGCATTATTTTTTCTGCATATATAAACAATACATGTTATTGCTTTTCTAAAGTTATTAACAAAACAGTAAGATAAAAATCATTAACAACTTAGTTATTACGTTTTTTATCTCTTTATGGACATGGAAAATGTACAACTGTTTCAAGTTCAACACTATCCATACAATTAAAGGTTAGCATAACCAGCCCCCATTTTGAAAGAGGGCAGGGAATTCATTTCTAAGGCAAAAAAATGCAGTAAAGAAATAGAACAAAATTGCTAAAAATGAAATTTACTTAACATTGACTTAGGGTTAGTTGTTTTGTTTTGTTTCTCTTTCACAAGTAGGTAAATACTCTGATTTCATTCTCTACTTCCATTAATTCAAATAGAATGCTGCCAATGCCATCTTTCTTCAAAGATGGGCTAAGGACCGCTTAACATGCCCCAAGGGCAGCACTACATCCCAAACCCCTGTTTCAGGGTTACACAGGTGGACCATGAACTGCCTTACCGCTGTGATCCAGGACAAAGTCATCTTGGGCATAACGGAATTTTTCAGGTCCACATGCAATAAAAACATCATCATCACCAAAAAAGTCTTGCAGGCAAGTAACCTAGAAAAAAAAAAAAAATCACATCCAAGAAATAAATTAGAAAGGTTATAAGTGAAATAAAAAGTCAGCAAAATTAAATACATTTTTTTTTTTTAGGTGGGACATGCTTTATTATGAACAAAGCAACCCAAATTAAATACATTTTTATGCCTCATGTATAATATTGAGTTGGAATGAAAAGCTGTTTGGTATTGCATTTCCAAGAATTTTACTTTTCGTAAAGTGCTTTCGGAGTGTCTCCTGACCTCAGAACACCAGAATGAGGTGGTCACGGCCAGTACCAACATTCCTGTCTACCCCATGAGGTCAAGGACGCACACACAAGGAAGAGCGATGTTTTCCAGGTTTCTGATTAATGGGCAGCAAAGCTGGGGTGAACAAGGGTCTCTGTACTTTGTTTAGTCTTTTTACTACCTACCCTTCCTCACTCTCCCAGCAGCTCCACCTCCCAATATGCACCCTGGCCATGACTCTCTATACCTCTGGTACAGTGAACCTTTGGGTATTTGGGGGATTCATATATGAAAACTGGTTGGAAAAGTACTGGATTCCCCCTTTACCTGCGGAGGGAAAGGGGGTGAGAGGGGAGTACGTTTCAAGACCCCTCAGTGGATGCCTGAAACTTTGCATTGTTGTACCAAACCCTATACATACACACCCTTTCACATAAAGGAAGCACTATGCCTTCTCTTTGGCATATCTGAATTAGCAGCATCACTACTTTCATGCCTTGGGGTCATGATTAAGTAAAATGAGGGTGACCTGAACACAGCACTGCGATACCAGGACATTAACGGGGTTCCTAAATCCCAATATTCACTGCTCCCCTAGTTTCAGGCATCACTGTTCTCACAGGTATGGAAAGAAAGATTGCAATGCTACATTCTGTCTCTCAAAGGTACCAGGATGACCACACACCACTGAGGGGCTTCCTTCATTGACAAGACGATGCTCTTTCTTAGGGCACCCAGGCTGGACCTGCCAGCCCCCCCTTCCAACTCTTGTCTTTGTCATTTATCCTGCATACTTCCGCCTCAGCCACATCAACACCACCTTGCATTTCCTGTCTGCACAGTGCTGGTGGTTCTTTTTTGTGAAACAGCTTTATTGAGACATAACTCACGTACCATACAGCTAGCTCATTTAAAGTATACAACATGATGGCTTTAGTATATTCAGAGTTCTGCAATCATCACTAAACCTATTAAAAGTATGTTCGTCACCTAAAAAGCAACCCCATTAACAGTCACTCTCTAGGTCTCCCTCTCCTCATCCCTAGGCACCCATAAAATACTTTCTGTATGGATTTGCCAACTTTGGACATATCCTATGAATAAAACCATAATGGCATTTTGCAACGGGTTATCTTTCACATAGCTTCTTTACAAGGTTGTAGCACATATCAGTACTTCATTCCTTTCTATGGCTGAAGGAATTCTCAGTTACATGCATATACAGCATGTGTTTATCCGGTCCTGTTTATGGATGACACTTGGATCACATCTACCTCAGTGCTGGCTCTTGCCACTGTATCTCCCTTCCTGCTGGTCCTCAGCCAGAGTTGCCTTTCTGACCGCTCTTCAGTGCCATGACCTCCAGATGAGCACATGTACTTCCTGGTCATCATTTCCTAGGCCCTAGCAGAGTTCTAGCTTTGCTGAATGCTCAGTACACTTTTGTTGATGGAACTGTGGCTTGGTATGGAGTTTATCTTATTGGAATTAAGTTCAGAGACACAGAATAATTTCTCTGGGGTGGGTGGTGCACAGATGCCATCTACTTTGCCATCTTCACTACCAAGTAATGCAATTATTTATTTCCTGTGGTTGAATTTCACAAGTACATTTTATTAGATGTTTTTACTTTAAAAAATATCAACTGCATTTGGGGCACTGCCAGCAGTTGATATTTTTTAAAGTAAAAACATCTAATAAAATGTCCAAGGTCTAATGTAAGTTGAGATAACTCTCTTCCACCATTGGGAGCCACATTAATTTACTGCTGTATATGCTTCTGACTTTAACCAAGTACCAGCTATAGGCCAGGCATAAACAGAAGACAAAGTGTACACAGTCTAGTCATGGAGACGGACAAGAAAATTAATAATTCAGTGCAAAATGTAGCACTAGGAGACTAATGAAATTAGGAAGTACAAAGAATAAATAACAATGAAAATAGCATCCCATAAAATATTCAATAGCTAAGACTATTTCATATGTTTGGACACTCAAATAATTTTATCTTAAAATGTATTTCTTGTTCTTTAACTCTGGTGGTCTGTCTGCTCCTTTTATCGTAAAATTAAAAAAAACACGAAATGTAACCTTGAGTTAGGGGCCATGTCACTACAACTGACGTGGGGAAATAAAATACCAACAATATGAATAATGTCCTAAAGTCGTTTTTAACAAGGGTAAGGGAAAGGGTATCAGTTTAGAAGACCTCCTGTTTGCTTTTAATTTCTTCTTCAATGCAAGAAGCTCTCCAGGGATAATGGATGTTATGTGGCTTATAAGAGAAAGCTGCACAAATGAGAAGCAATATTTCTGCTAAGGTACAAAATTAAAGCAATCAGCAGTATCTAATGGGGCAACATCCAACTGAGAAATAATGTATCTATGGGAGCATATCTAAGCTCTCCAAATGAATGTGGGCCATTTAAAAACAGTAATTTTTCGGTCCTTCGGTAGACAGATTAATTAGGTCAAGGGGAAGAGGGGGCAGCTATAATTTCAGTGCTCATTCCTAACAGATTGCCACAACCACTTTCCTTTTTCTTTCCCTATCTGGTCTCTATTAAAGGATATAGAAACAGATACAAAGACTTAAAATACAATGCACATACTAGGAGCATAGAAAATCCTTTCCTCAAAACAAAAAAAGGTAGAGGACACAGGATTGCCATCTTCCCTGCACGTTGCATTGTGAACCAGAGGAGGTCTCCATTTCCCGACCCACTGGCGCTCTTTGGAAATCATGTTATTTCTTTCCCTTTCCAGCGTTATAAAAGAGAGGAAGGGAAAGCAGGCTGGCTTTCTCTAAGAGCTCTTCCTAAGAAATTCTGAAATCTGTTTTAGTTTCTAAGAAAAGCTTTTTGGAGATTTCTTTTGGGAAAAGTGGAGTGCACTCTGGTGGAGAGGGGGGAAAAAAGGAACACTATTTTAAGTAGGTAAATAGTATTGCCCACTTGGGATTTATTTCTGTTCAAGTTCAGTCAAAGAAATCTTCAACAAAATCTCCATGCCCTCCATGTTCAGGTGTTCCTTCAAGGTTCTGTAATTTGTCCAGCATAGACATTACCATTGAGGTAACGATCTGGTTTTGTGTCCAGAGTCTCAGCAGACTCTGAGCTGCATACATACAGGATCTTTGTCTAGCTCATGGCTGTAATTCTAGCAGAGTACATGGCACCCAATGCTTAGGCTTTGTTAAATACATTTCTTTTGAAATAAAAAATGCTTTGAGTCCCTCTTCCCCTAGGGAACCCTCTATAGAAGAGACATCTACACTCTTTCTGTGAATTCCTGTCAACCCAGTATCATGCAAGGTAGTCCTTGTTATAGGACTTATGTTGGCTTTCTAAGCCAAGATAATCTATAAACTCCTTGAACACACCAGTCACATCCTTTAGCTCCTTAAAGAAGTTATTCTGCAAATTATTGATCAAATTTTGGCTCTAGATACCTTAAAGTAACTTTCTGAAAACTCATTTTAGATCACATAAGCACTAATTGAGGAATTAAATGTCTTTCATCATTATTTCAGGGTGTTTTGAGAAAAAGATACTTGTGAAATCTACTATTAGAGCCATTCAGTAGCGGGGATTCAAAGCAAAGTAATGCACTATTCAATCTTTTGTTGGAATTCAGAAACCTGAGGTTGTATTTAATAACTGGCTCCTGAGGTACTTTCCAAGTATATTTGATTTAACAGTTCCAAGATCTGATAAAAATGCAAAAGAAACATCATTGGATCTCAGTGAGAGACTAGCTTAAACTGGCATTAACTTATCTAAATATAGTCAGGGTCAAAATCTTAGCACCCTTGAAATGTCTATCTCGAAGAACAAAGACCACATTTTGTAGAAACAAAATAATGTTGCTGTTGGATATCTGAAGTATAAAATGCACCTTGGAATTTTTTTTATAGATTTTAATTTTAACTGTGTGTGTGTGTGTGTGTGTGTGTGTGTGTGTGAGAGAGAGAGAGAGAGAGAGAGAGAGAGAGAGAGAGAGAGAGAGAGAGAGAGAGAGAGAGAGAGAGATATGAAAGTCCACACCTCCTGTTGAAATTAAATGTTTTCATCATTCAGCTTTAAAGGGTTGTGGCTACTGAAGAGTAATTAAAAAATATTTTTTTCTAGCTCATTTCTAAAGAGTATTTGAAGAAGCTCAGAAAAGAAGTCTAGTAAGTGGCTTTTACTTGAAATTATTACATAAGCTTTTAATGGAACTGCATTAATATCCTTATTGTTTCTTCCTAGGAATAGTCAGGTTACAAGACATAAATTGTCAAAAGGGAACTGCACTTAATTTTGAACGCCTCCCAAAGGCTTCTCTACCATACATAATTTTTCCATCATGCAAACAAATAGAAACACAGCGTTTAAAAATGTAAAGAAAATCCAAATGACAATTTTGACACACAATAAAGGATAAGCCTAATAGCTTCTGAGCCATTATCTGTCTATTGCTAGCAGGGGACATTGAAAAAAAGAAAAAAAGAAAAAAAAAGACTGCCCTTTTGCAGATGCTTAAAAGCCATCAGCTCAGCAGACTGAGTTCACCATAAATAACATTATCCCAGACACCCACCACCACCACCACCACCACCACCTTTTTTAACCAGTCCTATCTTTAGAATATAAGTTCTTCTAAAATGGGGAAACCCTATCTGAAATAAAAAAAAGGTTAAGTCATTTGGTTCCTCCAAAATGTTAGGAACACCACCAGAAAACCAAATTCAGAGCAGCAAGCAGGGGCTCAGATTCTCTCTGCATT